CAGAACAGCGAGCGGAACAAACATAACTGCAAAGGAATCGCACGGCGAACAAACGCATTTCGTCTGCTACGTGCGGATAAAAAAAAAAAAAAACCCGCAAGGTCGGGTGTAGCCCCGTGACTTCCGCCACTCACTCTATCGTCTCCACTTCTGCGAGCGGTGCGGGAGTTTCGGTTTCAAGCAGTGGCGTTTTTTGGCTTTATTAAAAAAAATATGTAGCTCTGTGGCAAAATAGTAATTGGGTAGTATTCCGACACGATTATGAATCGCCTGACAAAAAAGGAAAAAAAAATTGGGGGTGTCAGTGTCACTTCAAAGCCAGGCGTGTAACTCGTGTACTTTCCCATCCATAAGCCAGAAGTGGGTGACAACGGGAAACCGGGGATACTTGCAAACACAAAGATGCACTGCATCTGGTTCGAATTTGTTCGACATAAAGTGAGAGGCGCAAACAGACAGGATAGAGTGCCTCAGTGTTGTTGGCTGCGGCAGCCGGGTGGGTGCCATTTGCCGGCAGTACTTGAAAAAAAAGGCCGCACCTGTGATTCTAAAATCGTATACACGGGTAATTTTTATACATACTTTATCCATATTACATATGCATATAATATGTATACATATTATACATATTTTATATACAAACATATTTTGTATATATATTTTATACCTATTATATATTTAGGCAGCCCATACACGAGTAATTTTTAAATATATTTTTTTCGGCTTTCTTTGTTCAAGGTTAGGGGTGCGGCTGTTACACGAGTGCGGCTGTTACACGCGTATATACGGTATATACCGAAGGTTGGACTGGACGTCGTAACCATGACTCTGCCTGGGTGATTGCTCTAGGCACAGTTTCAAGAATCACCTAGATTTGTTAAGATATATAGCGCATGACTCTTTTGCGTCGGGACTGGGGGTGCAGGTGTTCCCCGAGTGCTAAAAAATCATCATTTATCTCAAATTCAGATCTCGTCGAAGCAAGCAGCAGTGAGGGAGCGGCTGCTGTGCCCAGAGTCATAGTCGGGGATGCTGCGGCAAAATTTGGCGCGATAGCTGGTATGTTTTGTTCAGTCAGTGTTTAGGATATAACTTGCCTGTTCCTCACCTGCGCTAGAAACAAATCGCAGAAAATTCCACAACGATTTTGTAGATTAATATGTTTGTGCAACAAAACCGGGTGGCAGATAAACATATCTTGAGAAAACGATAGAGAAGAGTACGGCCTGGCCTTGTATTATTTAGTAATCCCCTAAAATGTATTGAAGATATTCAGAGGTCATAATGAAAGGAACCATGGTAAAAGTAATTAGGTAAAAGGAAAAAGAAGTTCTAAGATTTTAGGTTTCTGTATGACATCCTAACCTCTAAAACTCGGCAATAGTGCCTCGTCAAAAAAAAAAAGTTCATTGTCATGGAAGCAAGCTAATTAACATTTTTATAATATGTTCCTCTCTTTACCACTGCCAAATGATAAATTCCATTATTTGGTTACTTTGCTTTGTTGCTCCTGCGTGCATGCTTTTAAACCCGCATGCCTCCTTAAAGTTATGTATCACATACTATACAGGCGCTGCCGAGGATGCTGGCTGCCCTGCTGAGGATGCTGGCGGTCCAGATGCAAACAGTGGTCATCCTGACGAGGCTGCTGGCAGTCTCAATGAGGATGTTGGCCATTTTGATGAAGGTCCGGGCCACCCTGATGAAGCTGCTGGTAGACTTGAGGAAGATGCTGGCCGCCCAGATGAGCCGGAACTTCTGAGCGTTAATAATGGCCAAGTAAGCCAACTCTTTTTCGTGTTTCCTAAGTTGCGCTGCTGCACATATCCTCGGCTATCTATGGTGGGTAAGGTAGTGCACCACACAAGTAAGTTATAAATAAAACATGGCCGCAATAATTTTTCTCAAACCCCTGCAGATCCAGACGGCATTCATCGCCACATCCAATGGCTAATGGTAGGGTTCGTTTTTCACTAAAAGTTCGAAAAAGTCGAACCTCGTCGAATTCGAACCTCGGCTAGTTCGCGACACCCCTACTTGTAGTCAGTCTTGGGTAAGTTACTTTTAAAAAGTAATTCGTTACAGTTACAGTTACTTTCAGAAAAAAGTAGCGAAGTTACCGTTACAGTTACCGCAGCAGAAGAGTAACTCGTTACAGTTACAGTTACTTTTAAAAAGTAACGACGTTACTTTTCAGTTACTTTTCTATAACACAAAAAATAGGAAAAACTAGAAAACGCCCCTCACCAAGTTTTATTCCATAAAATTAAACAGTACGCTTTTTACTTCATATTGTAACTTAGCAAAGTTGCTTCTCGAAATTAGTGTTTGAAAATTTCCACGCCAGAGTAGTGTCGCAAATCAAAATACGAAACATGCGCAGTGTGGAGTACTGGCGCTAATCAAAATGCGAAACATGCGCAGTGCCCTCCGCGTGTATTATTTTTTCACAGTTGATTCACCCGATTAAAAAGCGTTTTCACAGAATAAAGAAAAACCACAAAATAGATAGTGCTTCAAGACACTAAGATGTAAGTGTTCAGTCACGAAGTACAAGCGCGTGCGTAAAGATAACAAGATTTTTTTCGTGATATCTACACGTGGCTATATTCGGGTCGTGGCTCGTGAGAAAGAACGTATTCACAAGTTTGTGCAAGGCCATCTTGACACTCGAAATGACGGAATAGACGATTTGAAAAGTGCAAGTAAAATCTAAATTGGTACTCGATCAGTGATATATTATTCATAAAACACTGGAAAGTAACGACAAAAGTAACGTCGTTACTTTCATCGTTACCATAGAAAAAAGTAATAGAACTACAGTTACAAGTTACATTTTAAAAAAGTAACTCGTTACAGTTACAAGTTACCAAAAAAGTAACGAAATTACAGTAACGCGTTACTAGTAACGCGTTACTACCCAAGACTGCTTGTAGTAGATATAGTAACAAATGGAAAAGCCGCAGACCCCGATCCAATCCAAGCCGAAAGTTTCCGAAAGTGCGCATCTGGTGGCCATGCTGCTATTAGGTTATTGACTAGTGTGATTGAGCGTCATGTTTTCATAGTGTTAGCGGAAGTGGCCTCTTCACTGACGAGGTCGCCAGCAAGAAAGTGCTCATTTAATCCTGACTGCACTAACCCGAATATTTCGGAATATGCGAGTTGGATGAAGCCGTGCAAAATGATTCTCACAGTGCTCAATGGTTTGTGTTGTAATGGTCTTATACATTTTACCGCCTCTACAGTGGTCAGGCAATTTAAGCTTTAATTGTCAGGGAAAACCTGGAAAAGTCAGGGAATTTCAGAATAATATTTTGCTAGACACCCTGAAATCTCCTATTTCGAGAAAATTAAAATAAAATTAAAAGAAATGTTTTTAGGTTTACAACCTGCACAGAATAGATTTTTCGTCCATATCAAGAAGTAATGCAGTGGAGGGTAAAGCAGTAATGCAGTGGAGCAGACATGATATCAGTTTTAACTATTTCAATTTTTAATATTCAAACTGTCAGCCTATAAATTTAACAAGACACTCGTGCGAACGTTAGTGTTTTGCAGACGACACTTAAGCCTGTCACACGCCTGCACCAATCCGTTGCGTTGAGATTCACGTGACATCTCATACCACGTGATAGCCATGTTCTTGACGGCCCCGAGGCTAATGTTGCCGGACGGGGCCCAAGTTTCGGTTCCGATTTCTGCTTGTGTTAAAATTAGATTTAAAAATATATATCCCAAGGGTAACTCCACTCAATTCCGCATGAAATTTCGCATTAGCTCAATTTCGCATTAAAAAACCCTAGTAAAAGGCACTATGTCATTTGCTTTGCGAAAACTGGGATACATATTTTAATCTAATTTTAACGCGAGCGCATATCGAAACCGAAACTTCGGCTATGTCCAGCAACATTGGCCTCGGGCGGCCAACAAGATGGCTATCACAATGTAAGAGATGTCACATGATCGCGTACGCAACGACGGGCAGGATTGGGGTGGGCTTGTGCCAGGCGCAAGTGTCGTCTGAACCACACTCTTGACAACGTTTTGGTGTCTACGACATTTGAAGACGTATGCACAACTGCGGCACAAGTCTGCGCACATAGTGTCCGTAGTGTCGATGAAACTCCGAGATACAATAATCATGAACGGTGAGGTGACGATGGCGATTGTGACGCAAGAGACGGTGGTAACAGCGAGACCACAGCGGGACCACCTGCCAAGAAGCGCGCTGCGCATGCACGTTACCCCTATGACGCGGACACCGCTGAGCGCCACGAGAAAACTATGCTGACGTCACCAGTTCTTGCCCGGAGAAGTGAAAACAAACAAGCTTCGCCGACGCCGTGGCCTTGACTGCACTGTTGGTTGCGCCTTAATTCGCCCGCTCGAGTCAGCCAATTTCGGCAACTTGGCGAGTTACATAGTTTGCCGGGCCGTTTAAGAGACATTTAAACGGAACTACGTCGCAATATTTCATGTGTGGTCTTCCTAGGTGATACGAAAGCGTTCTGCATTGTTTTTTTTCAAAAATAAAAATGAAGCGGAGTTTCCCTATAAAGCTATTATGAGGAGCCATGGCATGATTTGTTGGTCTACAGGCCAACAAATCATTTTAGGTTGGCAGGATCTCTTAAAGTGCCTTGTATTATGGTGCCTGGATGTGTCTCCATCTGGTGTGCTTTCGCGTCATTCTTTTTGGTGCGTCGACAGTTCACAGTCACTTCACAGTCAGAAGTTAGGATGACATGACGACAGCGGCACTTGTACCTGCTTGTTTTATTCACTCGAAGTTTGAAGACCAACTGCCAGGATCTCGACAGCATGAAACTTCCGGTTCTTTACAGCCTTTGTGGCCACCGAGGGACCACTCTTAATTCATGGGAAGAAGAGGATGATTATCACACCAGTGGGGAATGCGTCCAGGCACTAAACCTGTACTGAAACTTGCTTGAGCACCTGTTTATGTAAAATTATGTTTACACTTGCAGCGTTAACTCGGAGGTGGGGTGCCTCTACCCGAGAAAAAGTTCGACTGGGTAATGGACAAAGCAAAGTCGGACTCTCGCTGCTTCATCATTTTGGCCCGGTGCCTGTACAAGGACGAGGCCCTGGTCAACAGGAGCGTCACGGACCAGCCCTCCAGGCGCAACCTAAAGCATGGTGCTGTGAAACAAAAGCCTATCACACCAGCCAAAGTGGATGCAATCAAAGGTACGTGCCTTGCTGCATGTCCCAGCTCCAAACTATGCAGCAATTGGCAGGCTTGGCATGTATCATTTTATAGGTTTTATAGACCACTCGGTGCTGACATGTTGAGGGGTTTCCTATATTGAATCTGTAAATGGCCCTATACCTTGTCTTGCCTCAGCATGAGGTAACTGCAAAGGGTGCGTAAGCGCGAGCGGGTAGCCTTGACTGGAGCAGCCGCTGTACGAGCACTTGTATAGAGCCGCCAACACGTGATCCAAAGCACTTAGTTCGCGCTTTTTAGCAGGCACGGCCAACATATAGTCAAGGCTAAGGTGACAAAAAGTGTAATGTGCATTTGTCTTGTTTTTAGCGGTATTGGGGGAATAGATTGCTTTACAATTTCAGTTGGCTCATTGTTTTCATGTTATGAAGAGACAAAAGACGACTGCAAGGAAAGGTGAAGAATGAGAAACAATGTTGCAATGGTGACATTACAGCTCTCTTTTTCATGTAAATAGGATAGCATAACCTGCTTGGGGCTTCGTCCTAGCTTCCGCTAGCAATGAGGATCACGTGCCATTGTTAGGACTTTTTGTTCCATGAACGGAGGCTGCTCGGCTGGCCTCTGCAGACACCAGCCGGCCGGGGGAGCGGTAGCTGTGCGCTGCTGCGGCGGTAGCACCGCTCTGTGGGGCTTTAGAATTATCCGGTGCGCTGCCCGTGTCGCAGCCATTTTAACAGGCGTTCTGCGGAGGGAGTTTCTTTGGCGTTTTTTTCGGTTACAAATAACACCTGGCTCCACTCCATGGGACCCTTAATGCTTTCGCATGAAAAGAGAAACACTTTCCAGTCTCTATTTTCTTTATTTAAGATGTTTTGTTTCAGTGATTAAAAGGCTAATAAAATATTCAAATATTATTTTCAGACACAATCTCTGATGGTATACTGTAAACGACTTATTTTTTGCAGGCTAATTATTTTGTGATTTAGGCCAAAGCTGAAGTTTTGGAATAATTTGCGGGTTCTAATGTTCGCGATGCTGTGGGATCTGAATATAGATTCCAATGTGTTTACATTTTACCTTAATTGTTCGCGGGACCTATATTTCGCGAATTGTAGGTGATTCGCGAAAATTAGGTCCTTGCGAAAATTAAGTTGTTTATAGTATATACCTCCGTCTTTGCAGCAGGGCCCCCAAAGAAATTACCCTCTTTTGAATTCTCACGATCTCGGCTGATTTTGAACTCCTTCAGCTCTGTCTATTGGCTGACATGTTTACTTTTTTGAGGCCGCCAAGAGAGTGATTCAGGGAAAGAGGGTAGCACTGTGTGCCCAATAATGAAAGAGCACATTATGTAGTGTGCTAAAAGGAATACTGAACCGAAATCTGATTTTCAGCTAAGAATACAGTGGGAGCGCTCCATTAGAAGCTACAAACCCCAAGACACCACTTTTATAATAATATAAAGCGATATGTCGAACAGATGGCTGTATTTTTGGCAAAAAGAAAAACGCAATTAAGCGAAGCTGACATCAGGTTGCCGAGCTCCTCGGCCTTGTCCTCCGTCGCCAGGCAAGCCTCGGAGGAGCTTTGTGATGTGACGTCAGACAGCCTGCCTGCCTCGCACACATGCATCTTGCTTTTCCAAAAATACAGCCATTTGTTCAGGATGTTCTTGTCAAAGTGATGTCTTGGGGTTTGCAGCTTCCCAGTGAACGGCCCTACGGACTTTTTGGGAAATAAACATTTCGTTTCAGTATCCCTTTCCTTTACAGGGACTTTCCAGCGATTTTTTGATTGGTCTGAAACTTGCGACGAGCCTTCCCTCGGACAAAATGGGAACACGAGGAAACCATTTTTCCCCACAAAATTCACATTGTTTCGGAAGTTATGAGCCAAGTAAAATAACGAATTCAAGCAAAAATAAAGATTTTTCCATACATAATACGGCCCCTCCAATGGTGGGACGGTTGTGCCACTCCTCGAGGGGCGCATCAACTAGGTGCTGATATCGTTTGTCTCCAGTTTTCAAACTCTATTTGTTTACTTTATCGCTCTCAAATCTTGACGCAAGAAAAGCAGATGCTCACAAAATGGTCAAATAGGACCATAATTAGGATACTTGTTTCTTTTTCTTTTTCTTTTAAGGGGACCATAAGGTACTTCTGAAATTTATTTAGGAATACAGAACCGAAATACTGAATCGATCTGCAATGTATCATAACTTTCATTCCTTCAACTGGTTTTCAACTCCCATCTAGGTGGGCTTTGAGAAGAAAGTTGGGATTAACCTGAGTTTCATAAAACCCATTCGGGTTTCGAAAATCGGGAAATATTGGGGCTTATCTGGAAATGAAGGCCTGCCCAAAATGCATTCAGTATAATGCAGATACACATAGAGTAGTGCAGTAGAAGAATGCATTCAATATAATCGAGATTTTTTATGGCGCTTACAATCTACAATCCTGTATACAGAAAATAATCACTAGGCTAATAATGAAGCTCTTTATAATTTTGACAAGCCTCCCTGCTATCTTTAGACATTCTTTTTATTTTTTGTTCCCCTTATTTTTTTTTTTCAGTGAAAAAACCGTTCTGTTCTTTCGAAACAATTCAAAAATAGAATTAAAAAAAAATTAGAATTTCCTGTGTTTGATGAGATTGTCTCTTCTATTTTCGCAGTTGGCTTATCTCAATATGTGAAGAGGCACCAAACCAGTGCACCCGATGACAATCGGATCGGCGAAGCCCGCACTCAACTTTCCAACTTCTTCAGTGAGAAGAATCGACCTTCCAAGGCCGAAAAGTGCCCACAGGTGCCCCTGACACCTCCTGTGTCCTTGGGGTCTCCGAATGAAAAATAGCTTTTAAAGGCTTATTTTTTTTCATTTTTTAGAACAGGTGTTTTCGTGGGGAGGTTTTTTTCTTTTGATTTTTTGAAAGACAGTACCGTAATATCCCGCGAGATAGCCGATCTAAAATTGGAAGTAAACCGGGTGAAAATAAGGCGTAGACTCACTTTCTGTGTGCGATCAAGAAAGTTTTAAAATATACTAGTTTTAGATTTTGTGACCTGTGAAAATTGTAATCACAGGGAGGGTTGATAAACCAAAGACGACTGTCCTCAGTCAGCAACGTTCGCCCTTCTCTTGCCGTGGTTAAGTAACACAATTTCTGCCAAGGTCACCACTGGTCAGGACCCTGCAATTACTAGAAGTGGGCTTATCTGTGTTTTTGAAAAATAAAAAATCATACCAAGAATAGGGGCAGGCTATCTTTCGGGGGTGGGGCATCTCTTGGGATATTACGGTAGCTAGCTGGGAACTTTTGCCCGAAGCGCTAACCGCGGCTAAAGTTAGCCGCAGTGCCTAAGAGACGGATTTTGAAATCACGTGACTGGCTTGGTAGGGATGCGGAAAAACATGGTAGCGCCTCGCTGAGTGAGCGACGCTCGCTTTAGAACTAACATGTCGTTGTAGCTGCAATATCGGGCACGTTAGTTAGCAACGAATAGTGCAGGAGGCTTTTGCTTTTCCTTACCTCACTTAAATTGCAAATCATGAGCAATGACCTCGCCACATTTTTTAGGTAGTCTTTTGATTTCGGCCATTCTTAAGCCTAAATGATCGCGACAACTGTTGGCATGGCAACGTCTTTCGAAAGTGGATTGCCTTGACTCACTCGGCCGGGTATTCATAGCACACAAAAGCAGACAGCGTCCCAATAAACCTTTTTCTAAATTTCCCAAGCACCGAGGTGCATGGTACGAGTGTAGTTGCAGGCATTGCACGTGCTGGCGTCTGCAGTAGTAATTGTTTTAAAGCAAAAAGTCTAAAACAAATTTGGCCTTGCACGCGCGTTTGTCAAAGCCTTATTATGATTAGTTACTTCGAATCTTTTATAAGAGGAAGGCCAGCGCGCGCGGACCGTAGAATTGCACTTCCAGCGCTCTCCTGGATGCTTGGGTAATTTAGAAAAAGTTCTATTGAGACGCTGTCTGATTTTGTGTGCTATCAATACCCGGCCAATTGAGTCAATGCAGTCCTTTTTCCATAGACGTTGCCAGGCCGACAATTATCGCATCCATTTAGGCTTAGGAATGGCCAGAATTGAAAGACTATCTAAAAAATGCGGCGAGGCCACTGCGCAGGCTTTGCGATTTAATTGAGGTAAGGCAACGCGAAAGCCTTCTGCACCATTCGTTTCTGACTAACGTGCCCGATATTGCAGCTACAACGACATATTAGTTGCAAAGCGAGCAACGCTCACTCACCGGGGCACCGCCATGTTTCCCCGCATCCCTACCAAGCCCAGTCACGTGATATAAAAATCCCACTCCTAGGTACTGCGGCTAACTTTAGCCACGGTAAGCGCTTCGAGCAAACGGGCCCTGGTTTTCGCAGGCAGAGAACTGATGGCAGTAGTAGTTAGGGCAATCACCGCCATTAAGTTAAATAATTTGAGTGATTGGTGTTGCTCCCATCCCGTTTACTTTTCTTGTAATTAATCACAGGTAATGGTGATCAAGAGTTGCGAGTGCCCTGTTGTACCTAAAAGATTAAAAAAGGTACAGCACCTCTGCAGGGTGGAGACTTAAGATTTGAATGTAAACATTAGACAGAAGTCTGTCTGGTTGGAGGAAATGATTATTAGAACGATGATCAACCAATCCATAAATAAGGGGCCCAACGTTGCTTTTTTTCTCTTTAATTTAAGATGTAGGCACGAATTTTAAAATGCATAATGACGTTATTTATATCTAAAGTAAAGTTCCGAAAGAACGCCCACTCATTATGAAGAGATAGATGGCGAAAAACATGGGGTGGGCTACGTTTGGAGATACCACAGCAAAACTTTTGAAAACCGGCTACAACCGAAGCGACGCGGAAACTGATACCGTAGATTGCGGACACCACAAATTCGCGTTTCACAATGCGATAAACACTCGGGAACCCGCTACAAACTTGCCCGTCAAAGGAACCGATATTGCACACGCAGATTGCGGACAAAAAGGCAGGAATCCGCTACAAACTCGTATGTTACGTGAAGAAATACCGCAGATCGTGAACGCAGCAAAATCGTATTTCACGATGTACTATAGTACACGTGGGACCAACTCGCGTGGAATGGATATCGCGGACAACAACGCGGGAATCGCTATAAACTCGCTTGTCTGACTAGCCGGTACAGCAAATTCCACGCTTGGTGCGATTCCCGTCGGACATTGCGTGACGTCCTACGGAAATGGGGGGTGGGCGATGTTTCGAAATTTTTATGTTACAGATATTTAGCCAGAAAAAACAGGATGGGCGACCTCTCGGAGGCGGACTTTTTCTCTGAACTTTACGGTACATATATATATATACACATATATACAGGATACCATTAAAGGGTCAGCTCATTCAGGTAGCCTTGTTGGAGAGAGCCCAGGGGCACAGTTCTTTCATCTATATGCCGTAACATCCTTCCCAACTTCCCGTGAAAGCAGCACTGCTGACAAAATCCTGCACGACGGAGAAGAAAGAATGAGTGCTGTTGAAAGTACTAATAAAGGGAAAAGTGAGTTTTTACTATGTGTTTTATTTGTGCGGGCTAATTCGATTTTAGATGCACGCTAGTCCATATCAATTTCAGCATACGCTGGACGGATACTTGGGATAACTTCCGTGTCAAGTATCAAGTCAAACATACCGTGTAACCATTCCGATATCGGACCAGTGTGGTGATATCGTGGTTTCACCAGAATGGGATGTTCAATAATCCTATATGCTAGTATGGGGTATGATTCTTTATGATTCTAGTATCAAGATCTTTCCAATAGGGATACATGGCCGAACAGGACTTCTCTCCCACGCCTCCCTAGTGAGAACTGCGCCAGGCTGATGGCTGGTGTGACTTGATGTGACACCAGACTTTTTCACGGATGTGATTTGTGATATTTTCACACCAGCAGTCTGGTGTTCTAGGGATGACACCAGAAATCTGTTGTGCTGGTATGACACCAGCAATATGGTGTTCTGTTGTGGCATTAGCAATCTTGTGTTCTGGTTTAACATCGAGGCCATGGCGTTTTGGTTTGACAGGGCTCTGGTGTTCTGGTGTTACAAGTTTTTGTTGTGGTGTGATACCAGAGCACCTGTTAACTGGGTGTTGCCTTATTCACAAAAAGGGTACAATGACAAGTTTGACAATAACGTAGCTGTCATTATTACTTTACTCAAAAAGTATAATTTTGGGGAAAAAATGTCATTTAATTATATCGCAAAAGTGAAAGAAGTGGATGACCAGTGGCTCGATCTTCTTGTCCCGTACTTTCACGGAAGCCTCCTTAAAGGCCGTCCAACAAGCAGAGTAAAGGAAACTCTCGCTCGATTTCTCCACTCCATTTGAAAAAGCGGGAGACCCTCCTTCTCTCTACCAGGAATAGTTAAGAGATCCGCTCTTGTGTGGAGAGGAAGAAAAAGTTGGCGAGAGGGAATGAAGAGAAGCAAACTGGGAACCGTTTTTTTCTCGAGTAGAAGACGATTCTATAGGTCAAATTTTAAGTATAAGGATATCAAATCTTTCGTCGAGCCAACCGATGTTAGTTGGATCCATGTCCAGCAGGATGCCGGTCTCGTTGATGATCTTTGTTGTGGCGGCTCGCAAGGCAGTCCTTTTTCGCTGCAGGCGGTCGACGCCGTGCTGGTTCGTAGTATGCATGATCGGGCTGCCAATTCCCAAGTTTCGGCACCAAACACTGTAAAATTACTAGCTTTCTTTTTTTTTCGTTTTGCTACCAGACAATGTCTTGCTATCTTTATCTCGTCGGAAGTCAGGAAAGCACACCAAACACATCCTTTTGGCTTGGACCTACAGAGAATGCTTCTTTATTTTCTCAAACTTCAAGAGGACTGGCGGAAAGCAAAAGGGAAAACGCCGAAGAAGCGAGCACCACAAGCTGCTCAAGGCCGCCCGTGAAAGTGCTGGGGACGAGGGGGTCATTTCTTGAGCACGAACCAGCCCGCCGCGGTGTATCCGGCGACCACCAAGACGGAAAGTAACAAGGCACAACGTCGGGGGAAGGGAAGTCACATAAAACGAATCAAAAACACGCTCGTGGACGAGGGAAAAGTCAACAAAAATACAACACTGCTGTCACATCAAACGGCGTAGGGTGCACAACAGACTGCCTGGTGGGCACATGAGACCGTGTGTTGTGATGGAATACTCTCTTGGTGTGCCCACCTGGTTGCTGTGCGGGTACATCAGCATTTCTGGTAAACAGAGCGGACTGGTGTGCTCGATACACCAGCATTATTTGCGGGTACAGCAGATATTCTGGTCTCACGCAAAGGATTCTTTGATGTCACAGCATGACTGCCTGGTGAATTTTTCATTGGGGCTCTTAAACGTGAAGAAGAACCATACGTCAAGAACGCGATACGTATCTGCAGATCTTCCGAGACATATTGCTTTAATGACTCCTGCTTCCCTTTCTCATCCAGGACTGTATGGGGGATGGCGTGGTTGTGCGCTTGGCCACCAGGTGGCGTCAATGCATCACAACCTGATCGTTCAATTTCCCTCTGCCCGCTCTCCGCAAGAGTTGAATAGGCGCAATAGAGAAGGCAAATCCGGTTGGGTGAAGTTCGACACGGCTAGCGCGCACGCAGCTTGGCGCTGTGTTTCCGCAGAGCGGTGTTGCTCTTATGCGGAGTGTGGTGTAGCGACATTTGGTTTATTAGTTTTAAATAGTATTTTTTTTTGTCTTTTGGAGCCAACAATTGGTGTTTACGTGCTGTAGCCAGAATGTGCTTCGCATTTCTACAATAAATCAGGGGTTGGATGTTCGTTGCAGGATTTGTTTGAGAATCACTCTGCC